AAATTTAATGTTAAAAAAAAAAGTTTTTAGTACTGGATACCCAGCTTAAAGCAGGGTTTCATCCAAAAGGCGAAGCTCCGCTTATCTGCCTCCTTCACCCCCCCTCTGCTGTCACATTTGGCACCTTTTTGGCGCAGGGGGGAGCATGTACCTGGTTTTGACAGGTACCTGCTCCCACTTCTACCTCAGTTCACTGCGATGAATGTAAGTTCATCCACCCCCCTCTCCTGCAGCCCTCTGGGACACTTCCAAGTTCAAGGCTTCAATCCTGGTTTCCCTTAGTCAAGATAGCGGTGCCAGCACCTGACAGCCGATTGAAGAATTTGCTTATGGTGAGGACACCACTAGACCCTTGGACAGGTAAGTGACCTAATATTAAAAGTCAGCAGCTGCAGTATTTGTAGCTGCTGACTTTTAATTTTTTTTTGCGGAGGGGATGGGAGCCAGAACTCCACTTTAAAGCCTCGTACACACAATGTGAATATCAGATGAAAAATACCGATTTCGAAGAGATCATACAATATTATGATTGTTAGTACACAGCTTTCGAGAGTTGACCACGACAGTTCGTACAAAATTATCCAAAGGGTCAAACATGAAACATTTTCTCGCACGATTCCAGAACGTACAATTTTCCTTCAATCAGTGCAGTATTAATTTGAAAAAAATTTGCTGTATTGTATCATATGAGAATTTTCGGAACTTTAGTAACATCCTCATTTTCAATATGAGACTACCATGTCAAAAAAAAATGGATGATCAGTCGTCCAATATTCTCATCATGTGTACGAGCCTAGTACACACAATCAGAAAATTGTATGGAAAATATCGCTTTCAAAGCGTTCATTCGATAATCCGAACGTTAGTACACAGCTGTCATCCGAAATTATTTGAAGGGACAAGCACAAAATATTTTCTTGCATGATACCAGATCATATAATTTTCATTAAATCAGTACAGTTTTCATCTGAAAATACAATACAAATACATTACATCACTTCCAAATTTTCTTTCTGCCATACAAGAATTTTTGTAACTTTAGTAACCTCTTCACTTTCGATATCAGACTAGCATGCAAAAAAAAAAAACAGAAAAAAAACAGACAATCATTCATCCGATATTCTCATCATGTGTTGGGGGCAGGGCCGGTGCTAGACTATTTTGAGCCCTAGGCAAGACCAGCTATTTACAGCCTGCCCCCCCAAAAAATTAAAATTTCACCTGTAGTTCTACTTTGCTCCTCCTAGTACACATCCTCTTTCCCCTCAAATTTTCCACCCTAACACAAATCCTCACCCCCAAATCCCCTGCCTAACACAAATCCCCCTATCCTCTCTAACACAAATCCCCCAATCTCCTCTCCTAGCCTAACCCGCCCCCAACCCTCTCTAGCACAAATCCTTCCAGTGGCCATGGCTGTGCCCTAGCCAGCACTGCAACCCTAGGCAGCTGCCTAGTTTGGTTAGTGGTAGCACCAGCACTGGTTAGGGGATGATTGGGGATGTCATTTAATGCAACGCAATAAGGAACACCAACATTCTGTTCACAAACACAATGGTGATAACTGCCATGACCTCATCCCATGGGAAACCTTTTTTGTCTTGAACCCTCTTCTTTGTTCTATTAAACTTGCCCACACATTTAATAAACGTAATATTTCTTTTATGACCTATGCCTTCAAAGCTGCTTATCTAATAATCATTCATTACAAAGCGGCCAACCCAAAATCTTTTTTCCAAAGTTTGTAATTTGCAGTTATATTGATGCTTTACAAATTAAAGCAGAACTTTACTCTCTCAATCAACATTAACTATTTTTAATCCTTATGTAGCTAGCATTAGTAAATAGATAGGGAGGTATATTATATTTACTTGTTTTAACCTTTTTTTTTACATTTCTTCAGTTACTTCCTGGTTCTCAGGCCTAGGCAAATTATGTCATAAATCCCAGAAGTCTTCAGGAGGCATTTTCTTAGCTAAGCACACCCTCCTGCCTAATGCCTGAGCTAAGGGCAGATGGATTCCCAGAGGTAAATGCTACATGAATCATCTGCCCTTACTCAAGATGGCCAGGGCCAAAAAATGCTAGGGATGTTTTTCAAAGTGATTTTTCAACAAAATGAAGCATGGAGACATGGATGGGGGAGTTTGCTTTGAATATTACATGAATTAAATTGCGTATTTGGTTTGTGCTCAAATGCAGTGTAGTTCCACTTTAAGTTGCATATTATTAAAAATAGTCTAAAATGTACAACTGTAACACTATTAGGGAAATGACACAGGTGGATTATCTTCTTTTCATCGGGTGACTGCTTTATGATAAAGATAGTGACATAGATTTACTTGGTTATACTGTATGTATCCTCCAATCCTTTTTTCACAACTAAGCATCCAGCCACATATACAATACAGACATATATACTTATACACATACATATACATATTGGAAATTGAGAATGAACTTCACCCACTATGTGTTTTTTAGCCCCCTCCTATGTTTTTCACTGGGTTGTCCATGAAAATACACATGCCTAGCATACCAAGCAGTGATCTGTAGTGATCCGCCACTGCACCCCACGTTCTGTGCCACCATCTTCATTTCTAAAGTCATCAGGAGCCGACTATCTCTTCCTGGTTCTTGCAGATGGTCCCTGATGACATGCCGTTTACACATTGGATTTGCAAAAACCTCCTGGGATGCGTGATGTAAGTATCCTAGAAGCTGCGGGCAATAAAAAAGGTATTTACAAAAAAAATTCCTGTGTGTGAAATGGGGTGGAGGGAGTATTTTTATTGGAAAGTGGGTAGAGAGGGTGAAGGTCTGCTTCAAGTGGCGCTTGGCTTTCCACATTCCCAATTAACCAGCCAGATTTACTGTTAGCATAGAAAAATCAGATCAGTAAATACCAACTTATCTGGGAAATTAGACATATACAAAAACAAAGACCAGACAGATTCCACATCCAGTGGTAAAAATCAACGCAATTTCTGAGTATATCAAAAGTAAGCAAAGCATGTAGAAAGAAAAATTATCTTTGTGTCTGAAAATTGCATTTGTAGAGAGTTTCCAACCTGCTCAAAAGGCAATACTGAGGTTTTAAAAAAAATGTAAATTGTCTTATAATGAACTGTGCAGTAATCCTCATTTCATTATGTGAAACGGAGACGGAAGAGTCGGATTATGATATATGGCCTTCGTTTGATTAAATTTCACATTACATCAACTTTCCCTTCTGACCTACAAATGGCCATAAATTATATTTTAATAGCAATGTAACTTTCCTCCGAAAAAAAAAAAAAAATTGCATTATTATGTAATTTTTCCTAAAAAGCTTGGACATGATTATCAGTACTTAAATAATGAAGGTACAGTTTTATTGTGCAATCACTGGAAGCAGAAAATACAGCATGATTAACAGAGGTCAAATAGTATTGTTTGCATAAAAATGATTTTTTTTCTAAGCAAATACACCAAAAATAATAAAACAGTGGTGGTTATCTTAGGCTCGCCATAGATTTCTTGATTTTTCTCATTGACTCAAAACCAGTCGATTCCTGCATCTACACTAAGCCCAGTCATACATGATGCGATTTTTCTTTCCTGCAACCCATGTGAAGAAATTTGCTTGATTTCCCCCATCAACACAGTGTTGATGGGAGAATCCCTCCCGCTCAGCTATTTTGTTTTCCCGGCAAGGGGGCAGGGGGAACCATCCCCACTGGGAGAACACAGTGATTACTAATACTGGTTGTAATAGCCACTAGCAATATTCACATGAAAAAGCCAAACGTACAGCAATTGACTTGGGGTACAATCAGCCTGTCCATAGATGGTTTGAAACCCAACCAGTCCCTGCTGAACTTGCTGGGATTTGAACCATCTATGGCTGGGCTTAACAGTATGGATAAAGGAATCTCCACTGCCATAGGAAAAAGGGTCAGCCGCACTTCGGAGGATAGATGAATATAGTGTGTATTTATTAATCCATAGGACACACAAAACACCAGGACATGAATACAGGACTTGTTAACGCATTTCACACGATATCCTGCTTAATCATGTGAAATGCGTTAACAGGTCCTGTATTCATGTCCTGGTGTTTTGTGTGTGTCCTATGGATTAATAAATACACATCTATCCTCCAGTGTGCGGCTGACCCTTCTTCCTATTGCATCGTGAGTGGTGGTGATCCAGAGCCTGCACCTGTTGTGGATTGATCTGGATTGTTTGCCTGAGCGGTATACCTTTGTTCTTTGAATCTCCACTGCCAACTATTGTATTCAAGCCCCCGCTACTACCTGAATACAGTGGCACAGTCAGTGACTACATCTCAAATTGAATTTCAGCCAATTCAACAGGAATCAATTGTGTTCATGCTACTGGAAATGGTCAGAGACACATAGAAACAAAGAAAAGTGACAGCAGAAAAAAGAATAAATGGTCCATCAAGTCTGCCGTTTGCTTTTGCAATTTTAATTTATCCATGTTTTTTGTTAACTGTTTTTTGTCTGAGTATAGATTTATGTTTGTCCCAAGCATATCTGAATCCACTTAACATTGACTGACTTACTAGCTCTGCTGGAAGTCTATTCCAAGCATCAACTACACTTTTGGTAAAATAATACTTTCTAGGAATAGTTTGGAACTTTCTTCCTGCTAGTTTGAAGTCATATCTCTGTGCTCTTTTTCTTGGCTTCATATTAAAAATACTGCCTTCCTGAATTTTATTCACCCCCTTGATGTATTTAACCACTAGCCTACAGGGCACTTATACTTCCTTCCTGCCCAGGCCAATTTCCAGCTTTCAGCGCTGTCGCATTTTGAATGACAATTGCGCGGTCATGCAACACTGTACCCATATTAAATTTTTATCATTTTTTGTGACAGATAGAGCTTTCTTTTGGTGGTATTTAATCACCTCAAGGTTTTTTATTTTTCTTAAACAAACCAAAAACCACAGAAAATTTTGAAAAAAAAAAAACATTTTTTCTTAGTTTTTGTTATAAAATTTTGTAAGTAAGTGATTTTTCTCTTTCACTGATGTGCGCTAATGAGGCTGCAGTGATGGGCACTGATAGGCTGCACTGATAGACACTGATAGGTGGCACTGATGGGCACTGATGAGGAGGCACTGGTAGGTGGCACTGATGGGCATTGACAGGCATCACTGATGGGCACTGAAAGGCAGCACTGATATATGGCACTGTTAGGCAGCGCTGACTCTGTCAGCTCTGAGGAAGAAGGCATGACCTTCGAAACGTGTCAGCTGTACTGAGTGTCCACCCCCATGATGGGATTCGCGCTGGCCTCTTGCCTTTGAAGTCCCTGGGAGGACTTACATGCCTGTTTTTATTCACTGTTTGTGAGTACCATTCTTTTACTAAATAAATTTGGTTACTGAGGTAATGCGCAAGGTTGGTGCGCTTCTTCTTGTTTTACTTCACAGTTCTGTTCGGGCTTCCCCAGCCTTGGTTTGGAGCTGCACGACCTTGTATGCCCCGGTGGTTGTTTTGTTGGGATTTGATCTACTCACCACCGGCCTGGGTCCTGGAGCGCAGGAGAAATTGCATTTATGCACTGATATGTCGCACTGATTGGCACTGATTGGCACTGACAGCTGGCACTGATGGACTTTGACAGGTGGCACTGCTGGGGCTACACTGATCATCAGGGCACACTGATCATCAGTGCCCTGATGATCAGTGTACATGTCCCCTGCGCGGAAAGCCGATTACCGGCTCTCCTCTCCTCTCGAGCTGTCAGCGTGACAGCTCGAGAGGAGAGAAATGCCGCTAACCGGCATTTCCGTGTTTACATGTGATCAGCTGTGATTGGACACAGCTGATCACATGACCGAGCCGACATCTTTGGCTCTTTCCGTGATCGGTGATCCGCTGTGTCCGAGGGACAAAGTCAGGGGAAGACTTACCATTTGGAAACTCGGGCACTGCCCGAGGGCCCAGGGTCAGTAGGGGGCCCCAGGAGATGCCCCTAGTACCTTTTTCATAGGCTTTTTTGAGTTTGGGCAAGGACACAGGGGCCCCATGATCCCCTATTGCCCAGGGGCCCCATGAGTTGTCAGTCTGCCCCTGGACACAGTGCACCGCCGATTGCCACGCTGCACGCTCCCTGAGCCGCGCATGCGCGGTGAGAATGGGAGGACGTCATATGACGTCCTCTCAGAACGAGAGAACCACCTTGCGCCCGTCATTGGACTATATGGCGGGCGGGAGGTGATTAAAGTGGTTGTGAAGACTGAAGGTTTTTTATCTTCATGGATTCTATGCATGAAGGTAAAATAACCTTCTGTGTGCTGTTCCTCTCACAGCTTCCCCAATACTCACCTGAACTTAATCTCGATCCAGTGATGTGCATGGGAGCCTCAGCTGTCCCAGGTGTCTCTCTCCTCATTGACTGAAACAGAAAAGTGTGGGCCTTTGGTTCCCACTACTGTTAATTACAGTAAATAAGCCAATGAGGAGAGAGTGGGGGGGCACGCCAAGCTTGGGCTCTATGTGTCCTATGGACACATAGAGCGGAACTCGGGAACGAGCACGCACCAGTAATCCATAGCAAGCAGCTTGCTTTTGAGGGTACTGGTCAAAGGGGAGGAACCAGGAGCACCGGCGGGGGACCTGAGAAGAAAAGGATTGGGGCTTCTCTGTGCAAAACCACTGTACAGAGCAGGCAAGTATAACATATTTGGTATTTTAAAAAAAAAAACCTTTAAAATCACTTTAACCGCTTCCCGACCGCCCTCTAGCAGAACCACAAAATCACATATATATGTACATGATTTTGTATATCCGGGTAGGGCAGCTACAGCTGTTGATCACCGGGTCCCGCATGGAGATTCCGGCATCTGGCAATTGCCGAGAAACACTGAGGAGGGAGAGGTCTGTATGTAAACAATACAGATCTCTCCCCTGTCAGCAGCAGCATGCTGCTTTGTATTGCGCTTGGCATTGATATTGCAAATATGACTGATCATGCCAAAAAAGGCTCTTTTATTGAAGGATGATGATCATATGAAGCCATTTATGATCAAATAGTTGTTTGGTTCCTTTTTAAATCATAATGATAACAGAAATCACCCAAATAGCCCGGATCAAAAGTTTACATACCCTGCAATGTTTGGCCTTGGTACAGACACACAAGGTGACACACACGGGTTAAAATGCCTATTAGAGGTTAATGTCCCACATCTGTGGCTTTTTAAATTGCAATTAGTGTCAGTGTATAAATAGTCAATGAGTTTGTTAGCTCTTACGTGGAAGCACCGACTAGGCTAGGTACTGAGCCATGGGGATCAGAAAAGGACTGTCAAAAGTCTTGCGTAACAAGGTAATGGAACTTTATAAAGATAAAAAAGGACATAAAAAGATGTCCAAAGCCTTGAATATGCCAATCAGTACTGTTAAATCACCTATTAAGAAGTGGAAAGTTTGGGGATCTCTTGATACCAAGACAGGGTCAGGTAGACCAAGAAAGATTGCAGCCATAACTGACAGAAGAATTGTTCGGGATACAAAGGGAAACCCATAGGTAACCACAAGAAAAATACAGGCAAAAGAACATTTTTTGGCATGATCAGTCATATTTTCAATATCAATGCCAAAATTTCACAATTTCTGCCAGGGTATGTAAACTTTTGAGCACAACTGTATATATATACTGTATATATATATATATATATATATATATTGCCATTTGTAGACACTATAACTTTCACATAAACCAATTGATTTACATGTATTGGGATCTTTTTTTAGCAAAAACATGTAGCAGAATACATTTTGACCTAAATTTATGATGAAATTTGATTTTTGAAATTTTTTTACTGGATATGTTTTATAGCAAAAAGTAAAAAATATTGTTTTTTTTTTTCAAAATTGTGGGTCTTTTTTTGTTTATAGCGCAAAAAATAAAAAACACAGAGGTGATCAAATACCACCAAAAGAAAGCTCTGTTTGTGGGAAAAAAGGACATTAATTTCATTTGGGTGCAGCATTGCATGGCTGCGCAATTGTCAGTTAAAGTAACGCAGTGCCGTATTGCAAAAAATGGCCTGGTCAGGAGGGGCCGTAAATCCTCTGGAAGGCAAGTGGTTAAAGGTTTCATTCATGTCTTTCCTTTCCTTTCTTTCCTCCAGACTGTACATGTTAAGTTCCTCAAGCCTTTCCTGATATGTTTTATCCCCGAGACCTTTCATGTTATAAGAGTTGTTGGAGACTAGAAACATGGTTCAGAAGAAAGTGGTAGACTAGAGAAACATTAAAATGAGACTGCCCTTTTACAAACTGATGCTTCCACGTTATAAAAGATCATAGGAGCAAAACATAAAAAGACAAAATGGATGGACAGCACAGAAAAAAGTGAACCAGTGTGAAAGAAATAAACGAAATCATTTAACTATTAGAAGCCAAACTAAAGATTATTTTTTTTTACTGGCTTGAATAAGTACTAAAACCACCCAAGGGTAAAAGGGTCACAGGCTAGGCACTAGGTTAACAGACACATAAACGAATGTACATACTTCTCCAACACGCGTGTATTGGCCTGCATGCTTAAATCTCATGTGGGTTGACTGTTTAGATAAATCAGGAAAAGGCATTGACTCGTGTACAGACTATATGTATACTATACTAAATTAGACTGTATTTATGCTTGCATAACACATGATAATGCCTAACCAGCACTTTGCAAAGCACTTGTCTGTACTGATTCACATCTCATTGCACAATTAATGAACTTGCCATTGGAGAACAATCCCTTCTGGAAATCCTGTGAATCAGTTCTTAGGGTCCCTTTTCTGGATATTGCAAACATTTTCAAATTTTATTTTGTTTAGAACCCCTCCACATTTTACAGTTCAAGCAAAGTATAGACACTAAAGCTGAACTTCAGGCAGTGGCCTCCCGAGGCAGGTGCGGGGGGTGCGCGCCGCACCAGGTGACACCTACTGCACGGGGTGGCACCGGACCCACTCCACGTAAAGGTAAGTTGTAAAGCAAGCAGACATTTCCCGCAGGATAGATTTGATCTGCGGATTGGGGAGGATAATGGATTGGACTCCGATCCATTATGCTCATTCCACAGATCCGAACCATCCTGTGGGGATCGTCGGCATGCAACCTATATGGGGTGACACCGGACCCGCTCCACGAAAAGATAAGTTGTAGAGAAAGACAATGATCCCCGCAGGATGGATCGGATCTGCGGATTGGGGAGCATAATAGATCGGAGTCTTATCCATTTTGCTCAATCCGCAGATCCGATCCATTCTTCAGGAATTGTCGGAGAGGGTGTCACCAAGTGTTATCACACCGAATGACACCAACCCTAGGGACGCCCCTGACTTCAGGATAAGCAAATATTGTCTAAATAAAAGAGGCCTATATATTCTTGAATCTTGCTGTCCTTTTTACTTTCAAATCTGTGCAGTAATCAAGTGTGAAACTTTGCCTATGTGCAATAGTTTTCCCATGATAAAGATCAGGCACTGCTGCTCTCCTTGTATATGGTAGTTTTGTGCAGGTAGCCTATAGTAGGTAGGCCCACTGGGTCCCACCCAAAGCTCTGCTCTGCTCTCTCTACTGGTTTTGTGCAGCTCACTGATGATGTCACTGTTACTTTTACAAAGTAAAATCTGGGTTTGTTAAGGCATTTTGTGCACACAAAGTGCAGTTATATCCTTTGTGGCTATTAAAGTGGTTATAAATTCCTCCTAGACAGGGGCAGACTGACCATTTGGAAACTCGGGCACTGCCCAAGGGCCCGGGGTCAGAAGGGGGGCCCCATGAGATGCCCCTGGTACCTTTTTCATAGGCTTTTTTGAGTTTGGGCAAGGACACAGGGGCCCCATGATCCTCTATTTCCCGGGGGCCCCATGAGTTGTCAGTCTGCCCCTGCTCCTAGATTGTAAGCTCCAATGAGCAGGACCCTCTGTTTCCCCTTGTACCAAATTGTATTGTAACTGTAATGTCTACCTTCATTTTGTAAAACGCTGAGCAAACTGTTGGCACTATATAAATCCTGTATAATAATAATAAAGGCTCAAGGTTTTTTTACCTTCATGCATTCTATGCATGAAGGTATAAAATCTTTTGTGTATAACAGGCCCCCCAATACTTACCTGAGCCCCAGTATGATCCATCGATGAGCATCAGATCCTTGGCTCTCTGGGAACTCTCTCTCCTCATTAGCTGTGGGAGCCATTGCCTCCCACTACTGTCAATCACAGCCAATGAGACAATGAACAGAGGGGGGGGAGGGGCTGAGCCATGGCTCCATGTGTGAATGGATATGCAGAGCAGCAGCTCGGGAATGAGCCTGCTTGGGTGCCCTCATAGCAAGCTGCTTGCTCTGGGAGCACTCAGCAGGAAGGAGAGGCTAGGAGTAATGGCAGAGGACCAGAGAAGAGGAGGATCAGGGCTGCTCTGTGCAAAACCATTACACAGAGCAGGTAAGAATAACTTTTTTGTTAATTTTTTTTTTTAATTGACTTAAATATCACTTTAAGGTTTTAGGTTTAAATGGCAGATAGATGTCAGAAATCACCCTACCGCCAACAATTTCACAGCTTGAGAGAGGTCAAACACAAGTTAATACCTGGGTTCCATGGGTTGCAGGATTCCATGAAAAATCTGGAAGCCATATTAGGGTACATCTAGGCACCTCTAGCTGTCTG